CACAGATGCACACACACACACATATATATATATAGAGATATACATATACATATATTTATGTACGTATGTATGTATGTATGTATGTATGTACGTATGTACGTATGTACGTATGTACGTATGTACGCATGTATGTAAGTTTAATAGTTAAAACAAATAAGTGCATAAAAACGAGTAATAAATGAGGAACGAAGATATATATATATATACATTATATATATATACACATACAAACACACACACATATATATATATATACTCTCAGATATTATTATTATTAAATGTACCTCCTAAACTTCTCGCGAAACTCGAAGCCCGAGCAGCCGAGCACGCAAGAGGAAGAGCGCATCTTGAGCCTGTTCTGGGAGCATCGACGTTGCAGCTTTTCCGCAGGAGCCGTCGCCATCGGGGCGACCTTGTGGAGTTATCTGTTTTCGGTTTAGGGTTGAGGGTGTAAGACTGTAAGATTTTTGGGTATTGTGTTTAAGTTTAGGTGTTAGGGGTTGAGGATTGAGGTAAACCCGCGTCAGCTTTTTAGCGGCTTCTGTAACTTTGACCTTACCCCAAGCCTTCGATCGTGGTTTTTGTTTTCTCAGGTTTGGGTGGGATTTCGGGAATTTGTTGGGTTAACGTTGAGATTGGGAATTGTTCGTGGGGCTTTTGGGGCTCAGTGCTTGCAGGGTAGTGCTTAGGCCCTGCCCGATTTCAGATTCAGGGACTTGTCAATCAAACACAACCCCTTTCTGTTGGATATAAGTTTGGTGTCTGGGGCCTAGAGTTGTTGGAGATATTTAGGGCTTCGGAGATATTGAGGACGTTTCCGCACTCGGACAGAACACTTCGAGAACTTGAACTTAGGCAGACCTTGTGTTGCTAGCTCCACCAGAAGAAGCGGTAGGCGGGCTAGGCTGGGTATGCTGCTTCAGTCCCGGGCTGGGGCCTAATTAGGGCTTCGGGTTTTAGGCTGATGACGATCAAGTCCTTAAAACTCAGAGAAACATTGAACTGGTGGCTCTCCCTACACCCTAAACCCTCAACCCTAAGCACTTCCACCGAGGTTACATCACTCCCCTGGACTTTGCCCAGATCCGCGCTTTGGGGATCAGAATCCTGGTTTCAGATTGCGTCAGCTGGGATGCACATACTTTAACCCTACGAAAACCTTCCGAAATTCCTTGTGTTTAGTCTCCCCTCTGAATGTATCATTGTGTGCTACTAAAAGTAATATAATGGGGCTCTTGAGCTGACATTACTGAGGGCGATGTTGACATCCTTGGGGATTCGTCGGGTGTCATCCTTAGGTTTCGGCCGCATACACAATCACACACACGGGAGAAGACGAAGCCGCTCAGGGCACATGCGCATACAAATACACATTCGCAGAGACCCCACCCGGCCATGTCCTCAAAGACCCCAGAAATCACAACGGCGGGAAGTTCGACGTGCAACAAGTCCCGGCTGCCGAAAACAGCGTGCTTTGGAAGCTCCGGAAAGATATGTATAAATATATAAGCGTGCACATAATCACCACATGCATACATGTGTGTGTGTGTGGGTACGTTGGCTCACGGGTAGCCGTCTATGCATGCCTGCATGCATGCATGCATGCATGCATGCATGAGTGTGTGCATGGCATGGAGTGCAAAGTAATACAATGCAAGGCAGTGTAATGCTGTGTGTGCAATATAAGTATGTTTGCATGTTTGCATGCATGCATGTATGTGTGCACACGTAGGTACGTATGAGGGTATGCCTGGTCCTGTCGGTTTGGCTGTTTGCTTGTCTGTCTGCTGGTCCTGAACTCTGCATTATGTATGCATGTGTGTAGGTATGTATGTACTCATGTAACGTAATGTAATGTGACGTAATGTAGCATGTTATGGTGTATATGCATGTATGTGTGTGTGTGTGCGCATGTTGCGTGTGCTCCGCAAATTAACCTCGAGACACCCCCCCGGTCAAAAAGCTTCAACTGTCTGTGCAGTGCGACACCAGGAAAGGTGCGACTCCCGATCACGTGGTGCATCAGCTATGCCTCTTCGTACGTCATCAAAGGAGCGCCGTCCGGTTCCTGCCGCTTGCGATGCTAAGATTATATTCTTATGTGTCGTATGATGACGCACGACGTGTTACACTCGATGGCACAGTACAAAATGAGAGAACGAGAGCGAGAGATGGACAGACAGAGAGACAAAGAGAGAGCGAGAGAGAGAGATAGAGAGAGAAAGCAAGTCGCTTGTTTGATGTGGATGGCTGTCGAAAAAGATGCACGTAATGCTGCATTCATGCATGTATGTATGTATGTATGCCTGTCTGTATGTATGTACGACTGTAGGTAGGTATATGTAAGTAAGTATGTATGTATGTGTGTGTATGTATGCATGTATGTATGTACGTACGTATGTATGTATCTATGTGTGCCTGAATGCAATGTAACGTCATGCACCGTGCCGTGGTTGAGTGTAATGGATGTAAGATACAGTAATGCATGCATGCATGCATGCATGAAGGACTCGGATGCATGGTTGGATGGATGGATGAATGGATGAATGGATGAATGGATGGATGGATGGAGGGAGGGAGATCGGGATGGATGTCTGATGATGCATGTGTAGATGATGCGCGCGCGGGTGTGTATGTGCATATACATGCGCGTGTGTTCGTTCGTTCAGTGTTTCTGCGCATTTGTCCTCCGTCCGTGTGTGTGTGTGTTTCTGTCCCAAGCCATGAGCCTTAGCGCGGTACGTTGAGCCCTGACCGGCGGCGTTTGCGTGCCTGCCAGGCCGAGACTTCGATGGGGCAACCAGGGAGGTCACCATCAAACCCGGAGATGGCATCGTCGAGGAAGTTTTGCTGAAAGAGAGGTTGGGGGTTTTAGGGGGTTACCATGGTTTACCAGTTACCATTCAGAGGTTGAGGGGTCCAGGAGTTTGAGGGGTGGATGCCCCCTTTCAAAATTCAACATGAGGTTTCCGGGCTTTGGGCTGTCTCCTGAACCCCCTTTCAAGATGAGTCCCAATGAGGGTGGTTCATATTATCCTAGGTAGTATCAGGCAGACCCCTTAAAGGGGACCCTTCTTAACCCTGCTTATGGCTCTCTTAAAAACTCTCATATCTGGGAGTGGAGGACCCGTTTCAGAATGACCCGGCCTTCGACTCGACTGGCCTCCAGATGCCCTCAGACAAATGGATCTGCACTCCGATCTCTGCGGTGGAGCAGATCCTGGAGACAGCGGCGGACTTCGGTATCGAGGTCCTGCTTGACGTTCATGCTTTTCCTGGCGGGTCCAGTGCTGGGACGTTCAATGGCGTCTAGCCCCTGAACCCTAGGTTCTGGAGTGCTTACGCCAAAGACAATTTCAAGACGATTGCAACCCGGCTGTTTTCAAAAAATGCTCTTATTCCGAAAAGCATAGGCTTCAAAAAACGGCGACATGACCCTTAGCATGCCCGAAGATCCCGCAGTTGCTCACCAGATGACCAGGTGGGTCGACTGTTGGACTGGATGGACTCTCTTAGCCTGGCGAATCGGAAGGCTTTTGCTGGGCTCTATGGTCTTTCTCCAATGAACGAGCCCGCCCATCTGCGAGGTGCAGACCCGACTCCTTAAGAAATCGCCGGCAGTTGCACGTGGCTGGTTGTCTGAAGTAGCATTCCTTCTGTGGGCCACCACTAATTATACTTAGGGCTAGGGCATCTTAAGATCCTACAAGGAAGCCTAGTTTAGATAACGACTGTCATGATAAGGACCTAAGCTGGGTGTCGTGTACGACTGCCTTTCCCCTGGCTTGCGTCGCCATTTCCGCACCTAGCCTGGCCCAAACGTCCGAGGTTTGCAAACTTGGTTTGCCATCTGATCCTGGTCTGACTCATTTTTCTTGACTTGTGGCCAGTGTGGGGACTTGCGGATATGGGGCGCCTTCCAATTTGTTTCTGTGTGTGTGTGTGTTTGTGTTTTCTTGGGGGTTACATCATGATGATTAGTATACGTACAGATGGGCCTATAAGTGGACACTTCGTTTGTTCTGATTAAACTACCATAACCTATTTTTGTGTAGGGTTCGTATTGTTTTCGCTTTAGGATTTATGATCGGAGCCTAAGAAAAGGCAGGTTATGGCTTAAAGTAGCTATACTGCGGCCAGTGTACTTGGCGAGGGTTGGTCCGAGCTTGCCTCCTGCAGGCCTCTACGATCCCAAGGGCGCCGCCTGCCCTGTTCCTTACAAGGCCGGCCCAGACAGCGTATCGGCGTTTGAACAACCACCTATAAGAATGCTACCCCCTTCTAGTCCCTAGGATAACCCCAGAACCCAATTGAAATCGTCAAGGCCCCAAGAACACTAGTCACTAGAAGCTTGAGCAACACCTCAACGAAAAAGTCATGCCTATGCGCTCACAGTCTTCTGTATTATATATACACATACATAATATAAGTATATACATATACATACAATATATATATATGCACATTTATGTCATGTATGTATGTATTTATGTATGCATGCATGCATGCATGCATGCATGGATGTATGTATGTATGTATGTATGTATGTATGTATGGACATATATATATATACACATATATATATACCCACATGCACACCATGTTTCTTCACACGTAACAGCTACACTTGTGTATACTGTACCCACACGCACACACATACATGCATGGATGCATACATACATACTATACGCGCACCCCGGCAACAGACAATCATTGGAGCAGTCGAGCCAGCAGAGCCGTATGATGGCCAGTTGCAATACACGCAAGAACATGTCTTTGGTGTGCCCGATTCGTCATCAGGTTCGTCATGCCTGCTGTCGTTCCCACAACTGCGGTGAACAGCACAGCGCAGATCACTGTTATCGGAGTCGCATGAAGCATTAGGGCTTTTTTCGAGTATTTCGGCTGAGAGGTACATTGATACTTCAATTACTCGTTCTACTAGCACCGATACGGATACCTGCTACAGTAAGTGGAGGTCAGAATTTTCCTGTTGATGCCAGGGTGAGCACCACTGTCTCAAATCTGTCCTTTTCGGAAGAAAGCAGAAGAGAAGTGCGTTCATTAATACATTCTGACTGCACAACAATAGCTCTTATACTATATAGCTCCACCACAGCAAAAACATGTTGCTTCCTCTCCACTTGAGGAGGCATCCAGCCAGCCGGACACGCACAATTGGGCTGCAAATGTGTCGACTGCGGAGATCTTGGCAACCCTGGCAATTAGCGCCCTGGCCAACCAGCTGAAGCGAAGAGTTACGTTATTATCCGATTGGTCTCTTTCTTCAGTGGCACATCGAGCACAGCGCGTATGCAGCAAAACAGAAGCAACAACTGCATCCCCACAAGAGTTGAACCTTCGGTCTGTTTTTGTTTGACAAGTTTGCAGGTGTCGAGGAGTTCCGAAAACGGCCGGCTTTGCACATGGGTAAGAAGATGCTGGTCATGAACGTGACTTGGTCTTGTAGAAGTCTCGGCACAGTCCTAAGCTATCGGCGGAGGTGAACGGCCGTCCGCTAGGATTTTATGGTTATAAGTTTTCTGTTGTGTTTGTCAGAGGTCATCGAAACAGCCTTCGCTGGAACCTTTGACAAAGAGGATGTGCATGCCTTTGCCGCCAGCCAGAAAGGGGAGATCGGCTGTGTGACCGGGTCTATCGGAGCATGGTGGCGCGGCATCACCACCGTGGAAGAGCGCAAGTCTTGGGCAGTGCCTAGCCCTAAAAGAGCCCATCTTGCCAGGTCTTCGAACTTCCTTGCTATGAAAGAATGCTAAAAGTACTATAAAGCAACTGTATATACAAGTATAGGATATAAGTTTCCTGCGGTTCAGGTGCGAAAGGTATAGGATATAAGTTTCCTGCAGTTCAGGTACTGGACTTGCACAACTACATCGCCTGGGACCCAAAGGCCAAGGAGTTTGAGGAGATCGAAACCTTGGAGCAGCAAAGGGGGCTGCTGGAGCAGATGAGTTTCTGGGCTCTTGTTTTAAGGACTGGGGGGGTTTCCAACAAAAATTAGGGTTACCCTTATTTTGGGGTCCTTATAATAAGGATCCTACTATCTAGGGTACTGTATTGGGGTCCCCTATTTTCGGAAACCCCCGAATGGAATTCCAGTTTCCAGAATAAGGAAACCATGGGATTGGCTCTAGATCCCATTATGGTAAGTTCGACATAATTCCTGCTTTCGGTGATTATAATCCTCAAGAGACACCCAAAACCATGATTTGTGCAAGGGTACCAAGTTCAGTATAGGCTTGCCTTTCTTCCGGCAGCTGCGAGAACGGGCGCAGCTGCCCGAGCCGCAGCTTCTGGCATGCTCGGAATACAGCGCCAGCACCAATCAGGACACTTTTTTATCCACCACCAGCGGAGTGGGCAAGAGGCCTCTTCGACTGCCAGCCGCATTCACCTTCATGCACCTCCGAGATGCCTTTCTGCGTTTTCAGAACCGGGCAGCCAGGGAGGAGCGTATCCAAATGTGGTTCTGGACCTACCACATTCGCAAGAACATCAACTACCAGGGTGAATGGTCTTTGCTGCATGCTTTGTCCCCACTGCAGCGATTGCTGGCGCGCTTGGCGACGGGCACCCCAATGGCTACAGGAGAGTTGGCCATCGCTTGCATGAGGCGTCGGGGCTTTTTGACTGTTGCTAGACTGGTGTGTTCCCCCTCGGACCCCTAAACCCACCTTAAACCCCCTCAACCCCAAACCCCAAAACCTACAAACCCGAAAAGCACTGAAGCCATGAGGTGTGCCTTGCATTTTTTCTTTGTGGCTTTCTTGCTGGCCAGCGCGTGGCTGCGAGCTCCTGTGCGGAGCTTCAAGGGTTTCAGATCGCTTCGCAGTTGCATGTTAAGTGCCTCACAGGCATAAACACTCAATTTTGTTCAATGCTATATATAACTTTACGCTGTAGATTACATTACATGTATTTTTCCACGAAATGTCAACTGTGAAGCCTTCTGACTCACGGAGCTGTGAATTTGACCTGCTTGGTTCCATCCTAAGCCCGACACGGCCCTAGACCCTATACACCCTAAAGAGTGGGAAGGAGCTGGTGGCTGCAAGCATTCGGCCTTAGATTTGGCTTCCCAATGGCCTTGTTACGGTGCTTCTGCTGCATTTGGACCCAGAGTCTCTTTGCTCTGTTGAGATTTCGAGCCTCAGGTGTTTGTCATAATTCTGTCTCACACTCCATCGTATCTATCGCTACGACCGACAGCGACGACGTCGACGACGACGATAGGACGACTGCCACTTCTACTGCCGACATCATCATGTTCATTAGGACCACAACATCTGCTATTGTTGAGGGGAGGGTAACTGTTGCGTATTTGTGAGCACTTGCAGCTGCCGCTGCCGCTACCGCTGCCGCTGCCGCTGCCGCTGCCGCTGCCGCTGCTGCTGCTGCTGCTGCTGCTTGTTATTGTTGTTGCAGCTGTTTTTTTTTTTGTGTGTGTGTGTGTGCGTGTTTTTTGTGGTTGCGGTCGGCGTCGTGGTCGCGGTCGTGGTCGTGGTTGTCGTTGTTGCTGCCGCCACGGACCAGACGGCCGCGCCGTTAGGAGGCTTTCGAACGGGCTTTGGGCGCAACTCCTTTTGCTAGAGGTCTCGACCGGGCCCCAGGGCAACGTAAAGGATTGTGTCCTGTCTCGAGCCATGTGCCTCCGTGTTTACTGAACCGGTCTGGTCCGCCGGAGTCCGCCAGGTCCAAATTCCTGCACCTAGTCGCTGTCTGAGGCATTGATGACTGGGCAGGCGGTAGGGTTTCCACCTTCCGCGCAGTTGAGGAAGTCACTTAGCTTGCCTCGTGGCGATCAGCGGACGGCAATGCTGCCAGTGCACTCACAAATTTATTCACAGATTCGGAAGAAGTCTTGTAAGCATGCAAGCAAAACGGGTGTCGCCAAGCAACAGCCGGTGTCACACGGAGGGCAGGTCCTGGCCCCAGCTCAGGTTCGCAGTATGGGCAATTGCCACCCTCAGGCACCGAGCGCACCGGCCACCCGCCCTCCAAGGTCTCGAGCAGGCCGTGCCAAGGGAGAGCTTCGCATTCTCTCGTGGAATGCTGGGCATCTCGGGCAGCAGCAATGCTCAGAAATCAAGTTTTGGCTAAAGACGGTAGCCTCGCAGACCTGCGATGTCCTGTTGGTCTTACAAAAAAAACACACTGGAAGAGACAGCGGAGTTCACGGCTGCAGGATGGTACTACGTGTCGTCAGCCTCTCCCGCAACAGAGGTCCCAGCTAGGCCAAAAGGATGGGGGGTTCGGCCCCACGTAAACTTCTTCAGCCGGGGCTCGGCCCATGCCATATCAGGCCCGTCTGCGACTCGAGCAAACGATGTCATGGTACTGCTCTCTCCCTCCATCCCGCCTCATAGCATCAGGTGGCAGGAGCATGCGAAAGGCAGAGTCCTGGAGGTGCGGCTTGACTGGCACGGCGCCCGCGCCACAGTCATTGCTGTTTATCAGCATGTCTGGTCCCCAGTCAAGACAGCACAGGCCAATCGAACGGACGGAGCGGTTGTCACGCACCACTTGTCCAGATGTGTCACGCAAGTCCCGACCCTCTTGATCGCTGGCGACTGCAACTCCTCCGTCTCACGGCTCCCTAGACTGGTAGGCCCAAGCTTGTTGGACGAACCGGAATTGAAGAACTGCCTTCGCGGCGCCCGCCCCATGGTGGCAGTGAGTACCTGGCAGGTCTCCCCGGCCCATATCTTCGTGCAAGGCGACTCTAGAAGTGGGCCTGAACCCTAAACCTTGAACCCTAAACCAACCACCAAGGCCACGACAGTCCCACAGTCCAACAGGCACCTCAGGAGCGACAGGGTCGGGGATCTTGAGGGATTAGGGTTTGGAGTTTAGGGTTTGGGGGTTTAGGGTTTAGGGGTTCAGGGTTTAGGTTTAGGGTTTAGGGGTTTAGAGTTTCGGGGTTTAGGGTTTAAACGTTTAGAGTTCAGGGGTTTAGGGTTTAAGGGTTTAGGGTTTAAGCGTTTAGAGTTCAGGGGTTTACAGTTTAGGGGTTTAGAGTTTAGGGGTTCAGGGTTTAGGAGTTTAGGGCTTAGGGATTCAGAGTTTAGGGTTCAGCAGCTCTGGTCGAGCAGTATCTAGTCGAGCTCGCTAGTTAGTATATGAAAAAATACCCACCCACCCTTAGAATCCACTAACATTGGAACATAAAGTTCGTTCTCTTACACCAGCGAGTTCCATTTACAGTTGGGCTCTCTTCACATTTGCATGACTTCATTTTGTACCTTTTTTTCATCGCACGTTCGAAATGTTCAATATGATTGGTCCCCACAGCCCCAGACGTTCGAAATCTGCAATATCATTGGTCCCCGCAGCCTCAGACGTTCGAACGGTGCAATATCATTGGTCCCCACAGCCTCAGACGTTCGAAATGTGCAAAAACAATTGTCCCCACAGCCCCAGACCTTCGAAAAGTGCAATATCATTGGTCCCCCATGTTCGAAATGAACAATGTCATTGGTCCCCCATGTTCGCAATGTGCAATATCATTGGTCCACGATGTTCGAAATGTGCAATATCATTGGTCTCCCATGTTCGAAATGTGCAGTATCATTTGTCCCCGCATGTTCGAAATGCGCAATGTCATTGGTCCTCGATGTTCGAAATGTGCAATATCATTGGTCCCCGACGTTCGAAATGTGCAATATCAGTGGTCCCCGATGTTCGAAATGTGCAATATCATTGGTCACCGATGTTCGAAATAAAAGTGCAATAGGGTTTACATACCATTGGTAGAGAGTGCTTAGGGTTGCAACATGAGTTGGTACCCTAAACTGCAATATCTAAGAGGTTTAGGGGTTCAGGGTTTAGGGTTTCAACATGAGCTGGTACCCTAAACTGGAATATATAAACCCAAGCTCTAATTTTCGAGAGTTGTGGAAGGGGGGGTCTTTGTGCCCACTTATAAACCCTAAAACTGTAACTGTATTCTATTGATTCTGATATTATTATGTAGACTTAAATATTGAATATTCAAAGACAGCATTGTGTGGGGCGTCAAGGCGGGTGACAAAGTCAGGGGTACATATTAGTCTCTTAGAACCTTAGGGGTGTGTGTTTTTCTAAAGAGGTTCAGTCTCAGAACAGTATTAGATTATCAGATATTAAAAGGAGTTGTTCTCAAATTCTGTAACACTAAATCCAAAACCCTACTTACTGTTAGTTTATCTACTTAGACTTGGAGTACTACTTATGTGGTATTATGATCCCTAACCATCGTCCGCTGGAAAAACTTAGCACTTTCGCGGGAAACTACCATGTGAACCTGCTCCGCTGGAAAGTTTCCTGTGCACGCGAAAGTTTTCATCGATTCCACAACTTCATGCCATGGAATCCTATGGGTTCCTCGCTGGGTGTTCAATGTCCTGTCCGCTGGGTTTTCAATGTCCTGTTCGCTGGGTTTTGATTATGCTCTTCGCTGGGTTTTGAATGGCTGTCGCTGGGTTTTCAATATTTTGGAATGTCCTTTTCGCTGGGTTTTGACTGTGGTCTTCGCTGGGCTTTGAATGTCTGAAGACTTTGTTTTCTATCGCTCCTTGCTGGGTGTTCACAAATGTGTCAAGCACCACCTTGTGTTGTCTGGAAGGGTTGAACAAATCCTTGCAGCCGACGACCTTTCCTGTTGCTGTTGCTGCAGTTCCTGGAATGCTGTGCAACTATTTCAGTCACTTGCAGGCTCAAGGAAATGGATAGACATGGTCCCTTGATAATGCGATGGCAATATGCAGCCTGTCGCTGAGTGGGGCTGTGTGAATCCCTCTGCCTGTCTCACTTCGCTCATGAGGCCTGCAGCCTGATCAGTTTTGGCCATGGTTTCTTGTAGATTCCTGGATATCTCATGGCTTGTGCAAGGCATGATTTCTGTGCAGGTGGTACCGACAGACCGTGCTGTCACAGCAGTCCCAAGCTGAGGCTGCATCTTGCAACTTTGACTTCACCTCTGCCATACAGCTTCATTTTCCGACAATTTGCAGGTGCTCCCTGGCTCAAGCTGCACTTGTAGATGCTCCCTGGCTCAGGCTTGCTGACCCCATGCCACCACGCAAGAGACAGAGTACAACAAAGAAGGGCTCAGGCAGGGACTGAAAGAGTACGTTCGAGACCGAGGGGTCAACCTGGCCTTTCAGCTTGGCCCCTACGAAAAGCTTGGTCGCCAGAAGGCTGCGAACGGAGTGGGCCTTGTGCAGCTTGCAATGCTACTCAATGTCATTTTGGATCATTGCCCATATGCGGAAATGCATATATCCTTCGTCAAAGACTTGCTTCTGTGGCTCCAGAGCGAGTTCACAACCATCTCTGGCAGCATGTCCCCTTCGCTATGGGCCTCGTGGATGACCGAAAGGCTCTTGACAATCCTCTCCCATCTACGACGGGTTCATGGTTCTGCCATCAGGCTTGCTGAGTGCTCCTCCAGGCTCAGTCCAGACCAAACGGTGATCCTGACTGGCCTGCTGTCGAGGATCCAGAGGCAAGGCTCTGCCGATGCCCCGGCCAAGTGCTCTACCCCGTCGCCAAGCAAGAGACTGCTCCAGAAGCAGCCGTCGGAAGTGACTGTGGACAGTCAAGGAGTCAAGGCTTCCCTGTGCTCTGTCCGCTCGATGCTGGCCAAGTTGATGCCCAGGTCCCTTCCTCCCAGTGCTCTGAGAAGCCCTCCAAGGCCATGAAAGCGAAGACGAAGACCGTGAAACCCAAGAAGACCATCAAAGCTATGGCGAAGATCATGAAAGGCCTGCCGGCAACTTTAGCAAGATGCAAAAAAGAAGGGTGGCACGACGAACAAAAAGCTGGCAAGCTACAGCTATGTGAAGAAGCTGAGCAAGGAGCAGAGAGCTGCCCTTCGGCCAGGAGGGTGCAGCAAGTGCCGACGGAAAGTGTGCTCCCCTTCCTGGTTTAAGTGACAACGTCCTGTTCGCAGCTTGAGGTGCCAGGGAGAGAAAAAACTAGGCCGGACTCTGTGCACTGCAGCATGCATGCCTTTTCTGCTGAGGGTTTCGAAGCACGATGTCGCTGCTGCCCTGCACCCCCCTTCCCCCGGCCAGAGCTTGTACGAATGGAGTCGCTTAAAGTAAAGCTGTCGAGGTCCTTCCTGGAGTTTCTGGAGGCCGCTCTGCCTCATGAAGCCCTTCCCCGGCAGAGCTTGTACGAATGGAGTCGCTTAAAGTTAAAGCTGTCGAGGTCCTTCCTTCGAGTTTCTGGAGGCCGCTCTGCCTCATGAAGCCCTTCCCCCAGGCGGAGCTTGTACGAATGGAGTCGCCCTTCCTTCCAGTTTCTCGAGGCCGCTCTGCCTCATGAAGCCCTTCCCCCAGGCAGAGCTTGTACGAATGGAGTCGCTTAAAGTAAAGCTGTCGAGGTCCTTCCTTCGAGTTTCTGGAGGCCGCTCTGCCTCATGAAGCCCTTCCCCTAGGCAGAGCTTCTACGAATGGAGTCGCTGAAAGTAAAGCTGTCGAGGTCCATCCTTCGAGTTTCTGGAGGCCGCTCTGCCTCATGAAGCACTTCCCCCAGGCAGAGCTTGTACGAATGGAGTCGCTTAAAGTTAAAGCTGTCGAGGTCCTTCCTGCGAGTTTCTGGAGGCCGCTCTGCCTCATGAAGCCCTTCCCCCAGGCAGAGCTTGTACGAATGGAATCGCTTAAAGTAAAGCTGTCGAGGTCCTTCCTTCGAGTTTCTCGAGGCCGCTCTGCCTACGTGTTTTGGAGCGACAACCTTGAAACCCTTCCCCCAGGCAGAGCTTGTACGCATGGAGTCGCTTAAAGTAAAGCTGTCGAGGTCCTTCTTTCGAGTTTCTCGAGGCCGCTCTGCCTGCATGTTTTGGAGCTTGTTTTGCATGGCTCAAGACTTGTGAAGCACTTCTGGCTGAACCACTTCTGGCTCAAAGTCTCGCAGTGGCCTTTTGCCCTTTGCAGTTGTGTGGGCCAGAATGAAGAAACCCGCTTCGTTCGTCTCCAGGGCCTTGGGCAAGATGCCCAAAACAGTCAAGGACCCCAAGACAGTCAAGAAGGCTGCAGAGAAGAAGCAGACAAGGCCTGACCCCGAGGTTTCGGAGCTTGACGCCGAGGTTTCGGAGCCTGCAGTCCAGAAGAAGTCCAGCCTGAAGGAGGAGGACTTTGCCTTGGTCGCCTGTGAGGGGCTCCAAAGCAAGCTTGACCGCTTGAGGGACTCGACCAGGGGCTTGGAGATCGAGGTGACCGATGGCCCCTTCAAGAAGTTTTTCGAGAACCTGAGCAACAAAGAGAGGCTTGAGATGTGACATGGTCTTTTTGTCATGTAGAGATGTGACCTGTTATTTTTTGATGCCGAATATTGCAGTGAAGGTGGTCACTGTGGAAACAGTTCGAAAACGATCGGACTGCCTTGGATGGAGACCGAGGAAAGAAAGTTCAGGACGACTACAGCAGCATCCGGCACCCAGGGTCTGACGCAAAGAAGAAGAAGCTCCTCAAGGCCTACTTAGTCGGAGGAGGCTTCAAGGACGTGTACTTTTCGGTGTCTGCCACCTTCTCGAAGACAAGAGACAAGAGAGCAGGAGGCGGGCGGGCCGGCGGGCGGGCGGGCGGGCGGGCGGGCGGGCGGGGGGCGGGCGGTTTCTGGGAAGTGGGCAAGGAAGTGTCCACGAGCAGGGACCGACGGGGCATGCAGCCTCGTCCAAGGCCAAGACCCTGAACGACTTCAAGCAGTTCGTCGACGATGGCCAGACCAAAAGCTTCAAGAACATGGGCATGGACGGCTTGGACTTCGAAGAGTCGGAACCCCGGCTTGAAGAAGTTGCTGGGCATCAAAGATATCCCCAAGGAGAAGGGCCCTTTGGAAGTGCTTGAGACGGCCTCCGTCGCTGTGTCTCAGAAGGCCTCGGACAAGCAGAGCCACGCGAAGGTGAAGGCAGCCCTCAGTGTGACCAATGTTGCCATGAACAAGTTGGAGACGAAGATCTCTGACATGACATGCTCCTTGAAGGAGAAGCTCTCCATGAATGCCTTGCTCAAGGACCTGAAGAGGAACTGGCTTGACTTGCAGACGGCCTCCCAGGAGAAGGTCCTCAAGAATGCCAGCAAGAAGTGTGTGACTTTGGCTGAGCTCTTGAAGAAGCTGCAGGCCAAGGTGAACAAGAACTCGCAGTGAGGCTTCCAGAGTCTCGCTGCTCTTTCTCCGGCTCTTTCTCGAGCAAGCAGGATACTATAGCACAGCCCCATCGCTCTTCCTGCTGCTCAGCTTTTAAAACTGTTTAACCTGCAGCAAAGCTGCCCTGCAAACCGATCTGCTCAGCTTGGAGGGAAATGTTTTGTGCCAAGAGTACATGAACGGAATCGTTGTGACTGTTGGAGCATTGTGAGGGAAGTAAGTTTCTGCTTGCTTCTGTTTGCTCGAAGCCTCCGAAGCCTGGAGCTGCTGGTGAGGGATGCCTCCACTGCAGCCTTGCCTTTTAAAAATGGCAGCTGCTTCACAGTTCTGCTTTTCTGACAGTAGGCAGTCTGAGATCTCGTGCTTTTCAGTCTCCAGCGCCGGCCAAACCCTCAACCCTAAACCCTAGACTCAAAGTCTTAAATCCTAAACCCTAAACTGCTTAAACCCCCATAGTTGCTTTTAAGTTTTTGAGCAGACGATTTCAGATTTTTTTCGCAGACGAGTTGCTGCCATGCCGGGCCATGTCCAGAATGTCCAAAGACAGCTGGTGCATGAAAGAGAAGCACTTCCCAATGTGGTGGAAGTGCTGCTGTGCAGAGAGTTGCGCACGCCATGGTCCTAGGTGGTAACAGACAGGAAGCAGTCATGGAGCTGGCAGCCCTGGGCTCTCAAGAAGGCTCACCCGGGCAACATCTCCAGAGACTTGAAGGCGAAGTATGCCAAGCAGGTCAAAATGGCCGAAGCTTTCATCGGGCTGCACTATCCTCAGCAGTTCGCTCACATCTTCGGCACTCATGATTTGGGCCGGTTCTGGTCACAGATCAGAGGACATGACTTGCACTGGCGGCCTGATTTGCAGCCCACAGACATTGACCCCAACTTTACAATCCCCATGTGGCTTCATGGAGATGGGGTCGCCTTTGGTGAGAGAGACTCCTTGATGGTTCTGTCCTTTGGGGCTTTAACCAGCAGTGTGTCGCCCAGCTCGGGCTGTTTATTTTCTGCTGCTTTCGCTAAGAAGGTCACTTCTGCAGCTCCTAAAGATTCAACTGCAGACACATGGAAGAACATTTGGCAGCCCTTGGCTTGGTCGTGGGAATCATTGATTTCCGGCAAGCACCCAGAAAGAGACCACGAAGGGAAGCCATGGCAGCCGGGCACTCGCCGAGCAAAGACCTGCTTCCCAATGGCCCGTGGCGAGGTTTGCTGTGGTCATTGGTGGGCGATTACGAGTACATGGCGAACACATTGAAATTGCCCCAGTGGAAATGCATTGACCTGTGTGGCTGGTGTGATGCCAGCCGAAAGAAGCCAAACAAAGACCCGTGGAAGTTTGACAAGCCGGGATGGAAGTGCAAGGAGCAAAATGACTTTGCCGATGACCCTATCTGGAAAGAGAGTCATCCAATTTTTCAAATCCCTGGTGTCCATGACTTGTCCGTGCAGTTGGATGTTTTGCGCTTGCTTGACTTGGGAACTTCCCAAGCACTCGCTGCAAGTATCATCAAAGAGCTTCTGTACTACGACATGACTGACTCGGTCGACACAAAGTTGGCCAGCTTTTGGGAGAAGGTTTTTGGAATGAGTACAGCCGGACAGGTGCCACTTGCAGAGTTTCCAATTTGACGTTGGGCATGGTTGTCAACACCCAGTCGCCTCATGCCGAGTACCCACATCTTCGCTTCAAGGCAGCAGAGACAAGACACTTCATTCCCGTCCTCGCCAAGATTTGCCAAGAATTTGTTGGCAGCAAGCAGCAAAAAGTTCGAGCCGAGGCAGCAGAGCTACTGAAACAGTTTTATGATGTCCTCGACCTTTGTGACTATGTTCCTTCGGGGAGACAGCACAAGAAGCTGGAAAAGCTGTGGTGGGACTTTCTGAAGAAGTACCAGTGGCTCAGTGAAAATGCAGCCAAGAAGTCCCTGAAGCTTTACGATCGAACCCCGAAGTTTCACTACTCCTCACATCTGCCTGCTCAGGCAAAATTTTTAAACCCGTGAAAGTCATGGACTTACAAGAATGAGGATTTTGTAGGTTCTGTGGCAGAAGTTGCTGCATCATGTGCATTCGGCACACGAGCCCCGGCACTGTCGTTGAAAGTCGCAGACAAGAAGCGATTTTACTTGCATTTCCTGATGACCTTCCAGCATGAGGACTACCTCGACGGTGTGAGAAATCTTCTTACTGTGTGTCCTCCTGTTTCGCTGGGGTTTTAAAACCGTGTTCGCTGGGTTTTTTGTAATGCATTCCGATGGGTTCTTCGCGGGATTTTTTGATGCACATTCAAGCATGTGGTTTCGCGGGAAAATACCAATAGCTTTCAGTTCGCTGGAAATTACCATGTGGATCCCGGTTTTCTCTGTGGCTGATGCATTGGGATATTATGGCTTTTCTACCTAAACCGCACACTCTAAAAAAAGCAAAACTGTAAATCCCACAAAACCCTTAATTAGCTCTAAATATTCAATATTTAAAATCTCTGGGCCCTCCTACCGACCCAACAAAAAACTAATGCTCTGTAAAACCCTGCACACCCGAGCCCTCGGAAAAACCTTTTTAAACCCCTACTTTTTTCAAATGACTGGCGCCATAAACCCTAAAGTCTGACTAACAACTATCCTTCTAAACCCAGAACCCTTTACACCCCACCCAGCCTGCGGAGGAGCAGCGCCGGTGCTGCTGGCCTCCACAAAAGGTGGGTTCAGGTTACTGGTTGGGAAGGGTTTGGGTTTTAAGTTATTAGGACACATAGTTGGGTTAGGGTTTAGGGTTACATGTTTAGGATTGTAAGGTTAGGGTTGGGAGATCTAGGTTATGAGAGCTTAGACGTTCGATACCAAACTTTGGAACGTGTAACACCAAACAAATTATTGAATCCTCTAAGGGTTTAGGATTCTTTTTGCAACCTCCTCCGCAAGCTGTTTAGGCCCTGCCTTCCCTGACACCCTAAACCCTAAACCCTGACCCCCCCAAACCCTTTAAACCCCAAACCCCGAAACGCCTAAACTCCTGAACCCTACAACCCTTAAACTCTAAATCCCTATAAAGCCCTAAAGCCCTGAACCTCAAGCCCTAAAACCCTAAAGCCCTGAACCTTAAATCCTGAAGCCCTAAAGCCCTGAACCTTAAACCTTAAAACGCTAAAACCCCCTAAACCCCTAAAGTTGCAGGGGCGTGGTCGCGGCGTTTCTACGCCGCGACCTCAGGTGGGCTTCGGCTTTTCAGGGTCGGCATTGCTGGTTTCATTTTGATTTTGCACTGCAAAATCAAGATAAAACCAGCAATGTCCATGCATACATGTTTGACACAATGTAGGATTTGCTCTGAGTCATACTTTTTAACACCAACATTCCTAAGCTTTAGATTCTCAAACATAAAACCCTAATTGAGTGCTGACCGGCCCTGAATGGTAGGACGGCTTGGGGCTCCTGAGTGAGCAGTCAATTCAACGTGCACATATGCATCAAGACATCTAGGTCTGAGTATGCTACATGTCCATCAGAAAAGCACGGCATTGAGGATCATGTCGAAGGGTTGCCACGGCGAAAAGCTCCAGCTCCCAAATGGTGACTTGCCTCAGTATGCATACAAACACGAAGAAACAAAGACTGAAGGAATACAGGACTGTTGGTCTGGGGCACATAAAGCTCTGTGGGATGCAAGGGATGCATGTGATCATCCAGTTGGGCTTCATGATCTACTTCTCAGCTCGCTCCACTTTGAAATCATCCTGAGATGGAAAACTGGGTTGCGCACATGACTTACAGTATCGTGTTGAACCGGGGGTGCCAAATATTACCAAGTTTCGTCGTGGGACGGGTTCCAGACATAGCTGTTACCAGAGTAGCTGAAGCGGCCATCGACCTGCTGCCTCAGAAATTTGAATCAGGTTGTCCATGTCTGCTTACAATCGTAGAGCATCAAACGACACTGTCATGCAATCAGTCAGGCAGCCGAAGAATCTTCCAGAAATGAATGGTGCGCAAAGTGTTTTCGGACTCACTGTTCTGGAGTGGCTGACGGTAGAAGGCCCAAACAAAGCACCACTTGACAGGCACCCAGAAGCTCCAGCAGTCTTCCTGGGTGAAGAGGTCTGTGGGACCTCAGAAAAAGAAACAAACAAAGATTGAAAACCACACACAACACATCTCTAACCGGGCACTGAGCCCGCCTGAGAGTCTGGTTCACAACGGTCTGGGCCACCCTGGTCACAGGCCTTCCTGGGGTTGGTGTCACACTGGAGGCTGCCGTCAAGGTCTTGCAATACTACCAGGGCCATCCCTCCGAACAAGACGTGCTGGAATTAATCCCGAGAGGTCTGGCTCTCTCTGCAGAGCCGAAGACCATGAATTGGCTGTGTCATGGCACTTGCAAGCGCAAGGGCAAAATGTCACTTTCCCTGACTTTCCCTACTGGCATGGAAGTGAAGTTGCCCTTCCGGCATGGCAGGCATGACATCAGTGCGATGCCCTAGGAGCCTTCTGATCCTCCTATGCCGACGATTTCAGCTGCTGTGCAGGGCTCAGCAGTCGTAATGGTGGCGTAGTGTTCCTTTAGTTCGGCCTTCATTAATCTAGCTCAGCCACTGCACGCTCGCTGGCATAGCTGCCGCCTCTCATGATGCGTCACATGTTAGCGCTTCTTTGCAGGGCGAGATGTTACTCGCGCTCAACGGCTTGCTGTCTTGCCGAAAATACAGCTGCTTCAGGTGTCTTGAGCTGCAGCAACAAAGAAGCGGAGTAAAGCTAGCATCGGCTATGCATCGCAGCAAGCTTGCACTCTGTGCCTGCAAAGTCATAACGTCACAGGTATTGCGGATTTGCTCCGTCCCTTACCCCCCATCGCCATCGTCTGACAGTGACCAAGTGTGGGACGCCGCTAGACTGGCATTCGCTGTCGCCTGCAGACGCTGAGTACGACCCATCAGGCCTTGGTTCGTGAGCATCGGACGAGTTGGCTCACACTGAGGTTGACGGAGGTCGACCATGCATCAGTGA